TCTTTGATACATCCTCCTTAGTGGGTCCAATCAGCATGTCATCAATATAATGGACTAGTGTGACACTTTGTGGAAGAGACAGGCGATCAAAGTCCCTTTGGATTAAGTCATGGCACACTGCAGAAGAGTTGATGTACCCCTTGGGGGGGGGGCGAGTGAAAGTGTATTGTTGCCCCTGCCAACTGAAGGCAAACTGCTTTTGGTGGTCCTTCAGACTGGTATTGACAAGGCATTGGCCAGATCAGTAGCTGCTACCAAGAAGCAGGAGAAATATTAATTTGCTCAAGCAATGAAATCACACCTGGAATGGGAGTTGCCATTGCAGTCACCACCTGGTTAAGTTTACAATAATCCAATCTAGAGCCTACTTTTCTAATAGTTCCTAATATCTAGTATAGTCATTCTCTGGATTTGCGGTGGTGGAGTTGGGGAGTCTCTCTGGAAAATCACAGTCCTGACCACAAAGTTCACTTAATGGATCACTGCAACACAGACATGTCTTCGGAGCATATGATTATTTTTGGGTTTTCACTTGGAAGTATTTCCACCAGAGACAGATCAAGAGTGAAAAGGGAGAGATTTGAACATATGCAGAGTTCATGCAATATGTACATTTCCCAGACCTTGCTACCACTAGCAGAAGTTCCCCAACCAGAGGAATTTTCCCAAGAATGTCTTACAGGCTAATGCTTAAGACTCTATGTATACCTATAGCAGGAGGAAGATAAGAAATACTGATGCCTGCCATACTGACTAGGAAGGTTTTTCTTCGACTTAATAATTTCTTAATAAAATTCTCTTTGCAAAACCCTACTGGTCTCTCAAGTTAAATCTTCATTTAGAGGAGACAAAAACCAAAACTCTGGTAACATTTCTGGCGAGGCAGCCAGGAGAATAAGGGTTTTGGGTTAGCCAGTGCTGTTCTTCATCACAACAAAATCTAACTTAAGTGTTCCAAGGCAACAAGATATATAGCTGCCAGAATTCCTTGAAATTCTGCATCTACTCAACCTCTGCAATAAGAGACCAGCCACATCCCAGAGATGAGAAAACTTGACTTAGATAATTGTATTTATCTCTCTTTTGGCTTGGGAGGGTTTGAGGTGGGAGGCTGTCTATCTGTCTATTGCATAGGGTTTGAAACACTCCCTTAGCTGACCTCTGTAAAGTCTGGTTAGGATGGACTTATTTTCTTGTATGTGTTTCTCTAACTTGACCTTAAAAACAATTTCCTTGAGCTTTTCTTCAGTATAGAAGGTTTTTTTTCTGTTCTTTTGCCCTGTACTGAGAATGTTTTGAGTCTGAAGTGGTAAAGAGAACACCAGATTTCAGTATTTTAAAATGGATTTAGTTGACTATATCTTTAGGTGTCAGACTAAGCAGGTGCTGAGTGTAGTCTGCTTAATTCCTTTTAAAACATGGGCTTAACCCTTTACCCAAAATGGCAACTTCAAGGATGTAACATGTGAGTCTGCCTTTACAAGAGGCCAACCAGGGATGCCATAGTGCACACACCTTCTCTTTGGAAATTGCTTCTGATTTTAAAAACATTTTCCAGGCTCTCCCTTTCTCCATTAACAAATGACTTTATATGTTTTTAATTATACAGTACTTTTTAAGAGTCCACTATTTATTTTAATTGCTATAACAAGATCTTTCATAACAAAATTTTGATAAAATATGGCTTTTACTTCTGGATGAAAATTAGATGAAGTGTATATGAATTTGTTTATATAAGAACTCAATTTTGATGTTATAAAATGTACATGCTTATGATAAAGAAACATATATATACATAGATATCTTGAACCTAAAGTTGTTATGCCTATATAAATTGAGTTTAAAATGTTCGCTAAAACTGAACATTCATGTACCTTTTTAAAGAAATAATTGTATCTCTGTTCATCGCTGTTAAACAGTATCTTCATTGTTTATGCATAAGAGGCTACTGTAAGACTGTTTAAAACAATGAAACATTTTCAAAACATAAGATATTAGGTAGATTTGGTGGATTTATTCATGAAATTAAGTCATTTGCCTCTCAGAAGGCTCAATAGGCCAGAAACTAGGCTTGGATTAGTTTATGAATAGGCTCTTAATATTTGAATTATGCTCTAGCCAAGTTAAGAATACTGTTTATTGAAGGGGCCTTAGTGGTACAGTGGTAACACATTAGAATAAATGAAAACCAGCAGAAGGTCTGCTGATGGCAAAACCATCAGCCACTTGGTGAGAAAAACACCAGGCTTTCTACTCCTTCCTACTGTAGGGAATTTCAGTCTCAGAAACTGATAAGGGCAGTTCTACCCTGTCTTGTATGCTCCCTATGAGTCAGAGTTGGTTTGATGGCAGTAAGTTTGATATTTGGAAGCTGGAAGTCCTACATCATGGTTAGTTTATAACTAAAATCAGTTCAAATAAATGGTAACTATTATATTAGTTAGTACATCAAGAAAGGATTTTGAGTAGATAACTCCAACAATCGAAGGATGGAGGTTTAATAATGTTACATATGAAATTTTAAGCATATATCTTTCTTCCTTTGCTTTAATGTTCCTCTGACCTTTAGTTAACTTGGTTCAGCTTTACATTATTTATAAATTGCTCACATACATATATATGTATGCATATATATATAATTTGCATTCATTTATAAATTGCCCACTTAAATAAATATATATAAAATATGTGACATTTATAGCTTATATATAAAGTATGTATACACTATGTATACATGAATACATATATACACGTGTATGTATATGTGTACGTGTGTGTGTATATATATATATATATATACTATGACTTAACCATGGCCATATTAAGCTTTGGTACCTACATAGGTCTTAATTCTAAAGTTATTATATGTATTTGTATAACTTCATATCTTACTTATAAAATTAAGTTTGATTCATAAGCATGCATATGTTGTAAAATAAAGTTGACATCTGAAGGAAAACATAACCATCTATATTTCATCTACTTATAAATCAGAAACAAAACTTATATTTTTACTGATATTTTGTTTTAGAAGTCCTTTTTGTACAAATGAAAATGAATAGTGCACCCCTAAAAGAACTGTCTTATTAAAAATATATAAAGTCAGGGACTCCTGGGAAGATGACGACTGAGTAACACATACCAGAAGGATTCCACAGAAATCAGCACAGGAGAGTTACTAAGAGAGAAATTCCACACTGCTGAGTTGCAGGAGTTGCATCAGAAAGATAAGTAGGCACAGATCCACTAGGTTTTGTGGGGCTGGGGGTGCTTTTTGCTTACCACAGTGGAGGCCAGCTAGGGTTTAACCTTAGCCCCGCCACTGTCTCGGCTGAAACCAAGACCATTTCAAACCAGCACAGGGGCTATATCTCAACATAGCCACAGCCTGCTGCCACCTTGAGGCAGGGACTAAACCACTCCAGCCCCACAGTCAGAGATCAGGGCTCAGATATATTGTTACTTTTGTTTCCCTCACTTCTCTCTATCCCCCCACAGTCTCAGTGGGTTTAGTTGGTTTTTTTATTCTCTTTCCCTTTCTCTCACATGCTACCGCCAACCACCAGACAACTCCCCACCACCAGACCACTCCCCTTAGCCTAGGTCACTTACACATACCCTCCACCCAGCTGGGAATGCTCAACCCTCTTCAGCATAAGTGGAAACTGGGGGAAGCCCACCCACCCTCCACCAGGGGATAACCCGCTGAACTTCTTCCTGGGAAAATTCTGCCTGCCCACCCCCTGCAGTGTGCAACACTTGGCTGGGGGTATCCTGCCTGCATTGTTGAGGGAGGTCATATTGGTCCTCTGTGGACCAACGTGACTGAAAGTGCCTCACACATCCTAAGGCAGCTTGGCCAACACTCACCCATATGCCACACAGCTACAGGAACTTCTGCCCAATCTCCACAGTGATCTACCTGACCAGGGAAATTCCACCCACCATTTGCAGTGTTCTACACCAAAGTTGGCAACCCACCAGTCTTCTGTGGCACTCCCATTTCAGCAGGCATTCCCACATGCCCTCTGAAGTGCTCCAAGCTGCTGTGGACCATACCATCATTGCTTCTTGTGAGATAACCCAATGTAGTACCATCCTCCTGGGTCCAAAACCACCCAACCAGTGTCCACTGAGAGGACCATCCAACATGCCCTCCAAATAACAGAATACTGGTTGCCTAGGGAAAGAGTGAAGACACAGGAGGAAAAAGTGGTAGACCAATTACATAGTGAAATAAGATGCAGGCGGTTCAAAGAAGCAATCCTATGAGTCTCACAGAGAGAACCAGTGTTCTTCAATTCCCAGAAAAGGGCACCTGGCTTCTCTAAAACAACGCAACGCAATGT